TTTATTAGTCTTTAAATCTGATGTCTAGTAAATATTTACACAAACAGGGCTGTTAGCTGATATAAGGAATGTAACATCCAGTTGAGGACTGTATACGACGTACGTTAGTCTCTTAACGACATTTCTACAATTAATATTTTGAATAAGCCGTTAATACGCCAGTTGTGACAGGGATGATGGTATGGTAGCTGTAGCAGACAGATTGACAGCCGTTGTTACGTACGTCACTAGGTTATTAGTACGGCATTGACCTTGTTGATTGTTACTATACTTTGAGGATTTCTGTGGCCAGTGGCGGACGTAATTCAAACTCCTTCGACACTGACATCGCATCAAATATATTTGTGTACCGATTACATAAGTCTTACCGACAGGGTGGGGTGGTAATTTACGCGAAACAGACTACACTGTGTAAATTGAGCATCTCCTTTGATATCGCTTCACAACATACTTTTAATGAATGACCCATTAAACGATGATACACATCAGGATCGCGGAGAAAATACAAGATTCGTTCTCGTTGAATATATATATCTAGGCACCAATTCATCTTTCATAAACTTTTTGTGTCTTTGTGCTTAATATATCCACATATCAACGAAAATATGTAATACATGTATCCACAAAAAATATACATTTTCAGGCTAGGTATTTGCCCACAGCAACACCTGAATTAACTGTTTATTCACGCGTGGTGTGGCAGATTGTAATTGACCGAGAGCAGGTATTGTAGAATCACCTGTAAATAAGGCCGACACTGTAATTAGATACAACGTACTAATGAGAATATGAGAATTATCATAAGAAGGCTGTTTCGTTTTTCTTAACTATTACCATTTTCATACCAAAAGTGACAATGCATTTGAAAGTTACTTTAGTGTCACAATATTCACTCACGTTTTCCTCAATCGCATTGAAACATAATTCCCACTGGTCAGTTCGACACCGCATGTAATTTAATAATTATTTCGAGATTTCGTTAGAATGTGAGATATTCAGCCAAACGTTATGCAATAAAAGACGAATGTTTTTTTTCCATTAAAATACGCGCACGCGTACCTGTATAATGCATACCTAGTGTCACCTAATTGCCCAGTGTGATGTATCAACGGGACATAAAATGGGAAATGAAATAGAAACTAACTAAACTTGAATGTTGTGGAAAATAATTCCAATGAATTGGAGTACACGCACATGAATTCGTATGATAAACTGTCAAAACGTTTTGAGAGGTAAGGCCGGGTTCATTAAAGATCGTTGCAATATGTTAAACAGGTGAAGTTTGTAAAACTTCTATAAAGGAAACATCCAACCAAAGGCCTTTTTAAATAGTAATGTAATGATATAATATAAAGTATATTTCACATGATACAATATACTTTGCACACAGTTAGTTGATGCTTTCAAGGCACTGACGAAAACATGGGCGAAATATTTTGGTAACGCCGTAAAATAGTTGAATCATGTGTCATGCTTGTAGACACACCTTTATGTATTTGCGAAACTAAAACTGTTGAGCAAAGGAAAATATTCTCGCCCATTGGCCAAACTTTCTCGTCCAGGGCGAAATATTTCAATAACGCCGTAAAATAGTCGAATTAAGTTAAAATGTGTTAAATTATGTGACATGAATCTTCTAAGAACACCTTTATGTATTTACGAAACAAAACCACGAGTTTTTAGCAAAAGAAAATATTCTCGCCCATGGGCGAAATATTTCAATAACGCTTTAAAATAGTTGAATTAAGTAAAATTGAGTTACATTATGTGCCATGAAAATTGTTAGAACACCTGCATGTATTTGCGAAACAAAAACATAAGTTTTGAGCAAAGGAAAATATTCTCGCCCATGGGCCAAACCTTTTTCTCGCCCATGGGCGAAATATTTCAATATCGCTATAAAATCGTTGAATTAAGTTAAAATGAGTTAAGTTTTGTGTCATGATACTTGAAAGATATACATATATGTATTTGCGAAACAAAAACATGAGTTTTGAGTAAAGGAAAATATTCTCGCCCATGGGCCAAACCTTTTTCTCGCCCATGGGCGAAATATTTCAATATCGCTATAAAATCGTTGACTTAAGTTAAAATAAGTTAAATTTTGTGTCATCATACTTAATATATACATTTAATGTATTTGCGAAACAAAAACATGAGTTTTGAGTTAAGGAACATATTCTCGCCCATGGGTAGGCCAATGGGCAGGCCTATTGGCGACATAGTATAAAAATTGAGTTTTTGAACATTTCTTTTTTAATTTTTTCTTTCTTTGTATGTTCCCATGAAAACAGCATGTTTATTTTTGTAAATACCATTGACCGAGAGTCGGCAAAGACCCTAGAGTTTCTGGACTACTGGGTTATCATTATTATTATTAATTTCCATTTATCAATAAAATCATTTACATTTTCTATCGACCGTCTCCGTGGTCTAGTGGTAGAGCGTCCGCCCGGAGAGCGGAGGGTCCGGGGTTCGATCCCCGGCCGCGTCATACCAAAAGACGTTTAAAGATGGTACTTGTTGTTACTCTGTCTGGCGCTCGGCATTAAGGGGTTAAAACAAGGACTGGTCGGCTCGGAGTCAGTATACTGTGTCTGAGTGGGGTATTCATGTTCAATCGCGGCATGGTATCTCAGTGAGCTAGCACTATAAATCGGCATCAGTCCGGACTAGTACAAGCAGCCACACAAACAAACTCACGTACATGCACGTCGCTATATAAGTGCAATAATCTTGGACGCGACGTTAAACCCCATTTCACCACCAACACATTTTCTATCAGGTATATCTACATGCATCCTCGATAATATAGGGTATTATGTCTCCATTCTATCATGATAAATACCCTGGATCCATGGCCGCTATAGATTGATCCTTTGGGGTTGCCGTGCAACCAAAACACAATTGTAAGCGGGAAGATTCCACTGCTAAGTTAATTAGAGATGGGGATGGCGCCGTCACTTTCCACACGAAACAACGGTGGCGAATGTGTCGAGGGTATATATTACAATAGAATTAATATATTGTTCCCTCAATAATCGAGGATGATCTACATGAGATGTGCATCATGCAACACTTGTACTTTATGACGCAGACAGCTCAAGTGGAAAATAAATACAATAACTGATTTCACAGCATATTGTTTATCACACAACAACAGTCCACAAGCTTTTTTCGTTGTGCACCAAATGTTTATTGCATACATATTTCATGACTTAGATAATATTAATGTGCCGGTTTTTTTTAAATTATTCTCTCAATACATGACTACAATATACGTTGCATGAATATGTATGTTAACTGTTAGATTTAGTAAAAGTGTGAGTACAATAACTGAATCACAGACCGTTGACTGAAACGACTCAGCGCCAGGAAATATACTACCACGTCTGTGAGTGAGTGAGTGGGGTTTAACGCCGCATTTAACAGTATTCCAGTTATATCGCGGCGTGTCAGCTTAATATGGGAGGAAAGCCCCAAGTGATGCAGGTCTCGGACGTTTACCACTTCGGTGAATCCTACGAGCACGGGTATGGTGCTGACAAACCTAGAAACATAATCGGGGCGAACCGGGATTCGAACCCACAATCATAGGTTTCTGGTGTGCCCAAGGGACGCAACTCTGCACAGCGAATCGCGGCGCCTTAGACGACTGGGCCACCCGTGCCCCCACCACGTCTGTGATATGGCGGAGTTATGAAGTGTGAGTGAGTGAGTTAAAATCGCGGCGCCTTAGACGACTGGGCCACCCGTGCCCCCACCACGTCTGTGATATGGCGGAGTTGTGAAGTGAGTGAGTTAAAACGTTACGTTTACGTGATTTTATCAAAACGTTTCGCCGCTTAAATTAATGGCTGAGATATTGCCGATCTGACGTTTAACTTTACCTCACTCACTCAAAACGTTGATGAATGAGTTCAGTTTTACGCGGCTGTTAGAATTATTCAACAATATCACGGCGGGGGACACAAGCGATGACGAGAGAGCGCCTTAACCAAAATTATGCTGACCGCAACGAACCTAAAACTTTGATGAAGCCAAGAGGGAGTGATTATGGTTTTAGGCCGCATTTAGCAATATTCCAGCAATATTCCGACGGGGGGCACCAGAAATGGGCTTCACACATTGTACCCATGTGGGGATTCGAACCCGGTTCTTCGGCGTGACGAGCGAACGCTTTAACCACTAGGCTATCCCACCGCCCGTTGAAGCCAAGAGACACGAATATGATTATATCAATTATCATAATAGAGGTGACCATGAGATTCGAATATATGAATATATACACATTCTATTATGGACCAGAACGAGAGCGTATAATGTGAATATGTAAATAGCTATAACAATATCAGTATTTCTAACATGAGCTGAGTATAGCATATTTATGAAGACAAGCCATGCAGGAGTGTATTTTGATATATTTTACTTTAACAATAACACAGTGATAGATACACTCACTAGCTCACAAGACATCAAATCCCTCATAATATGAATCAACGTTTAAAATATATATACCGTATTCGTATTCGACGCAATAAGCGCCCAGGGCGCTCTCAAAATTAGAAATAGGGGGCTCTTATTAGGATAGTATTTTGGTGGGGAAAAAACAGAGTTGAAAGGTAAATTCCGTGGTTTATGCTGACAGCCTGAAATGTTTATATAGACAGATATATTTTTCCAGAATTTAATTCCCCATAGTTATGTGTGCATTTAACACACGAGTGCGTATTGTATGCGAATAAGTAAGTCTTCTGTACATTGATCAATCGGAAAGGGTGCTAATTGGGATTGTTCATTAGCCAATATATTAGCATATATCGCCGTGGGCGCTTATTAGAGCGGGGCGCTTATTACGTCGAATACGGTACCCCTTATATATTGCGACTGTACTATAGTAATCTTGTACTTCAATTCAAAACATCAGACCACACGCACCCCATGTGGAGCCTCACCAGCTCACGTCTTATGCGTTGTGTTCTATACATGGATGGACATACCTCTCTAGAAGCTGCAGCAGCCTGCGTCTTGTAGACCTGTATATTCTTCATCATCTGTCTCACAGCCTCTCCCCTCGACACGGGCACCTGCAGACAGCCCCAGGGTATGTGGACCGCGTGCTCATACACTGCCGCCTTGTACCCGCCCCGGCCCGGGGGGTAAGTTAGCGGGGTAGCCTGGGCCATGCACACCCATCCCGCCATTAGCGTCACGAGGCAGCAGCCGAGCTCCCGGTCCATGTTAACGATGTGCTGTGGATTTTGTGAGATGCTGTTCAGGTTGAAACCGAGGGACAGCTGGGTAATCGAGGTGGCGGTTGATCAAGCGTCTCCTGAGCGCACTGTTAATGTTCAAAGTCCAAGGGGGTCCTAACCCTCACTGCGGACGTCACTACTATTTGGTACATACCCGTAGGATTCTGGGTGACAATAGCGACAGCCTATGTTTGTTTGAAGGGGCGACTATTTGGATTTAAATGGACTGATTGCTTAATTACCTCAGGTCGGGGTGTCAGGCTCGGTGACTTGGTTGATTACTTGTCAATTTTTTTTAAGTTATCCAATGTAATACGTGTGTGTGGTGTGTGTGTTTATGGGTCACAACTTCCTATCACTAAACATTCAACAGGGTTACATTCTTGGGAACTGGGAGGGACACACCTTACTATCACTAAACATTCAGCAGGGTTACATTCTTGGGAGTTGGGGGGGGGGGGGGGGGGACACAACTTCCTATCATTAAACATTCAACAGGGATACATTCTTGGGAGTTGGGGGGACACAACTTCCTATCACTAAATATTCAGCAGGGATACATTCTTTGGAGTTTGGGGGACACACCTTCCTATCACTAAACATTCAACAGGGATACATTCTTTGGAGTTGGGGGGGACACAACTTCCTATCACTAAACATTCAGCAGGGATACATTCTTGGGAGTTGGGAGGGACACACCTTCCTATCACTAAACATTCAGCAGGGATACATTCTTGGGAGTTGGGGGGGACACAACTTCCTATCACTAAACATTCAGCAGGGATACATTCTTGGGAGTTGGGAGGGACACACCTTCCTATCACTAAACATTCAGCAGGGATACATTCTTGGGAGTTGGGAGGGACACACCTTCCTATCACAAACATTCAACAGGGATACATTCTTGGGAACTGGGAGGGACACACCTTCCTATCACTAAACATTCAACAGGGTTACATTCTTGGGAACTGGGAGGGACACACCTTCCTATCACTAAGCATTCAACAGGGTTACATTCTTGGGAACTGGGAGGGACACACCTTCCTATCATTAAACATTCAACAGGGTTACATTCTTGGGAGATGGGAGGGGCACACCTTCCTATCATTAAACATTCAGCAGGGTTTCATTCTTGGGAGATGGGAGGGACACACCTTCCTATCATTAAACATTCAACAGGGTTACATTCTTGGGAACTGGGTGGGACACACCTTCCTATCATTAAACATTCAACAGGGTTACATTCTTGGGAGTTGGGAGGGATACACCTTCCCGTCACTAAACATTCAACAGGGTTACATTCTTGGGAGATGGGAGGGACACACCTTCCTATCATTAATCATTCAACAGGGTTACATTCTTGGGAACTGGGAGGGACACACCTTCCTATCACTAAACATTCAACAGGGATACATTCTTGGGAGTTGGGAGGGACACACCTTCCTATCACTAAACATTCAACAGGGATACATTCTTGGGAGATGGGAGGGACACATCTTCCTATCACTAAACATTCAGCAGGGTTACATTCTTGGGAACTGGGTGGGACACACCTTCCTATCACTAAACATTCAACAGGGTTACATTCTTGGGAACTGGGAGGGACACACCTTCATATCACTAAACATTCAACAGGGTTTCATTCTTGGGAGATGGGAGGGACACACCTTCCTATCATTAAACATTCAACAGGGTTACATTCTTGGGAACTGGGTGGGACACACCTTCCTATCATTAAACATTCAACAGGGTTACATTCTTGGGAGTTGGGAGGGATACACCTTCCCGTCACTAAACATTCAACAGGGTTACATTCTTGGGAGATGGGAGGGACACACCTTCCTATCATTAAACATTCAACAGGGATACATTCTTGGGAGTTGGGAGGGACACACCTTCCTATCACTAAACATTCAGCAGGGATACATTCTTGGGAGATGGGAGGGACACATCTTCCTATCACTAAACATTCAGCAGGGTTACATTCTTGGGAACTGGGTGGGACACACCTTCCTATCACTAAACATTCAACAGGGTTACATTCTTGGGAACTGGGAGGGACACACCTTCATATCACTAAACATTCAACAGGGTTACATTCTTGGGAGTTGGGAGGGTCACACCTTCCAATCACTAAGCATTCAACAGGGTTACATTCTGGAGATTTGGGACGGTCACACCTTCCAATCACTAAGCATTCAACAGGGTTACATTCTGGAGATTTGGGACGGTCACACCTTCCAATCACTAAGCATTCAACAGGGTTACATTCCGGAGAGTTTGGAGGGTCACACCTTCCTGTAACTAAACATTCAACAGCGTTACATTCTTGGGAGTTTGGAGGGATGCAACTTCCTATCACTAAGCATTCATCAAGGGTACACCCTGCAGAGTTTGGAGGGTCACACCTTCCTGTAACTAAACATTCAACAAGTAAACCAGACATGCCGCCTTTTAATGCAAACACAGATTGCTGGGGAACTCTATCCCTACCTACCAGGAATCCCCTCTCTGTGTACGATCTATGAAATCCATTATGTTGTCCGCGCCCTGGCGTGATATTGCTGGAATAATGCCAGAGGAGGCCTAAAAGCTCATACGAATTACGGTTATTGTCACAGTGGGATCTCTCTCTCTCTCTCTCTCTCTCTCTCTCTCTCTCTCTCTCTCTCTCTCTCTCTCTCTCTCTCTCTCACGGGGCGGTCGGGTAGCCAAGTGGTTAAAGCGTTCGCTCGTCACGCAGAAGACCCGGGTTCGATTCCCAACACGGGTACAATGTGTGAAGCCGTGATATTGCTGTAATATTGCTAAAAGCGGCGTAGAACCATACTCACTCACTCACTCTCTCCCTCTCTCTCACAACAGTAAGACGGATTTGTGTGTAATTTGTAAGTCCTGAAATACCCTCTCTCGTGGGTACTCCGTATAGACCTAGGGTCTGAATCGGCCTGCGTTGAATGTAGTTTAGAAGGTGTGGCAGTTTCTCAGCATCCATCCAAGAGAACAGGGGCACTGTATGATAATAGATCATAACAGCATTTGTCACACGACAAAGGTGACATTCAACCAGGATAAGATTGGATGTTAGTGAGTGAGTGAGTTGGGTTTAACGCCGCTTTTAACATTATTCCAGTTATATCACGGCGTGTCAGCTTAATGTGGGAGGAAAGACCGAAGTCATGCAGGTCTCAGACGTTTACCACTTAGGTGAAACCCACGGGCACGGGTATGGTGCTGACAAACCTAGAAACATAATCGGGGCGAACCGGGATTCGAACCCACAATCATGGGTTTCTGGCGTGCCCAAGGGACGCAACTCTGCACAGCGAATCGCGGCGCCTTAGACGACTGGGCCACCCGTGCCCCCAGGACGTGATTGGATGTCAGTGGCACACGAGTCCTACAACCAGCTACAATGAGTATCAATACATATCGGCTGCCACCGTCCCATTACAACAAACTTCAACCTATCTATAATATAATGTTAACCCTGGTCATGTATAATGATTTCTACCAAAACATGATGTACTCTTACCAGGAACAATAAAAAAAATAATTAATTTTTTTTTTTTAAATGTAATATAGTGTTGGATAATATACTGAACCGAATTAAAAACTTCACAATCCTAAAATTTTAACATTTTGACCAGTTATCATTGTGGGCCCTTATTGTGTATTTAAACAGTAATGGCCACGTATTGTCTTCAGATAACACCCGTATTTGTGCAGGTGAATCGATCAAAATGATGTGCACAGCACTATAGTGGTAAAAGGTTTTTTTCACGTGCAATGGTCACGTGGCCATAATACCGCACGTGTTTTCAGCCATACTTGTTAGCAGTCATTAACAAAAAAAGAAAAACACAAGAAAACAAAAATCTTTACGGCCATTTGTCATTCCACGCCTTTCAAATGTGCAACGTGAACGTCCCATCGGACTGTTTATGATTTACAGACGCGTCTACAGCAAACGGGTACCACCGCTGATCGCCCTCGGCCAGGTCGACCACGTGCGACGTCACATGCAGAGGATCGTCAGATTGTCTTACGTCACCTCCGTAACCGATTTTTGACGGCTACATCAACCAGAAATGAACTGTTTAGGGGTAGACTGAGTGCGCAAACTGTTCGAAACCGTCTGAGAACTGCTCACCTTCAAGCACGACGGCCATACTGAGGGCCGATTCTAACGCAATTACACAGACGTCAACGTCCGTTGTGGGCACAGCGACACTTACGATGGACTCAGAGGAATTGGAATCAAGTCGTCTTCAGTTATGAATCCCGATTTAATCTTCGATTTGCTGATGGTAGGGCGAGGGTGTGGAGGCGCCGTCATGAACGTTACGCCCAGTGTTGTGTACAGGAAGTTGACAGATTTCGAGGCGGAAGTGTCATGATGTTGGGTGCTTTCTGTGGCAATGCACGTTCCAGGCTTCTTGTCATCCGTGGCAACCTCAACGCTGTTGCTTACCGCGACCAGGTACTGGCACCAGAACTTCTGCCTTTTATGGCAGCACATGGACCCGGTTTGATCTTCCAACACGACAATGCCAGACCCCACACAGCAATTTTGACAAGGAATTTCCTTCAGAATGCGGGAGTCAACGTCATGGACTGGCCGTCAAGGTCTCCCGACCTCAATCCCATCGAACATGTCTGGGATGCTCTTGGCAGAAGTCTGCGCACTCTCCAGAACCAACCACAGAATTTGCAAGATCTTGGCACCATCTTGCAGCAACAATGGCGTCGTCTTCCCAATCATGTGTTCACAAGCATCACAAGGACCATGCGGAGGCGTTGTGTGGCAGTTGTCAACGCACATGGTGGCCATACACGCTACTGAACTTGTGTGCCATCAGATATTCGTGCTTGGGATTTATGATTTAAACTGTTGATGTTATTACCGAATACCGTAGGTGTTTGGAACAAATTATGGTTACCACCGTTAATTAAAATCCTTCTTCGGACATTAATGATTAAAAATTACCTTCTCTGATACATTTGTCCGTTGTATATCATATATGGGATTACTTTTAAAAATGTGAAGTTTTTAATTTGACTCAGTATATATAGTCAGGTTCATATATATATAGGCAATACGCACATTGG